TGTGCTTGCATGCATGGGGCACACTTTTTGGCACAAGGGACTCGGTTGCTAGGCAACAGCAGCTGGCCTCCCCTCCTCCCAGTAACCTTTTTCGCTGTTTCTAAGCTTCCAGTTAGCAGAGACGGGAGGGGCTGGGGCTGCCTAGCCCAGCCCAGCCCTTGGCCCCCTTTCCTGCAACAAGAGGCTTATTCATGGGTCCTGAGCAGATTTCATTGTCTCTCTCCGTGTGTGTGGAGGGGGCACAAGAGGAGGGGCTGTGTGTGAACCAGGGAGATCTCATCCAGCAACCAGCCTGGCTGGGCTATTTAATCAATGCTGATCCTGAGAACACAAGCAGAACTCTGCCTAACAGACCTTGAAGCTTTACATCCGTTGTCACTGACCATATGGTAAGGCTGCATCTCTGTGCCATCCCTGCTCTGGTCTCTCCTCTCCTCTTCTCTCTCTCTCTCTTCTGCTCTAGGAATTTTAGGCTTGTGGGAAGAGGTTCTTCAGGTAGTTCAAATCCAAGGGCTGGATCCTAGAGGGGGCACTATTTGGCAACTCCCTGTTTCTCCCCAAGAACTCCCTTATGGTTAGCCCAGTGCTTTGCACTTGCTGCCGTTGTTAGGGGCCGTCGAGTTAGTTCCAACTCATAGCAACCCTATGTACAACAGAATGAAACCAATACTGCCTGATCCTGGGCCATCCTCACAATTGTTGCTATGTTTGAGCCCATTGTTGCAGCCACTGTGTCAAGGCATCTCATTGACGGTCTTCCTCTCTTTTTTTGCTGACCCTCTACCAAGCATAATATCCTTCTCCAGGGAGCTCTGATAGTGTAGTGCCTAAGGCACTTGACTGCTAACCAGAAGGCTGGCGGCTCAAAGCCACCAGCCACTCCTCAGAAGGAAGGTTGGACAATCTACTTCTGCCTCGGAAACCCAAGGAGGGGTCGCTATGATTCGGGTCCGACTCGATGGCACATAAAAACAACAACAATAATATTGGGACCAGGGACTCGTCCCTCCAGATGACATGTCCAAAGTACAAGAGATGAAGTCTCACCATCCTTGCTTCTAAGGAATATTCTGGCTGTAATTCTTCCAAGACAGATTTATTTGTTCTCCTGGCAGTCCATGGTACATTAAATATTCTTCACCAACACCATGATTCAAAGGGATCAACTCTTCTTTGGTCTTCCTTATTCATTGTCCAGCTTCCACATGCGTACTAGTTGTTCCAAAACACCATGGCTTCGGTCAGGTGCACCTTAATTTTCAAAGTGATATCTTTGCTTCTTAACACTTCAAACAAGTTTTTTGTAACAGATTTGCCCAGTGCAATACATCCTTTGATTTCTTGATGCTGCTTCCATGGGTGTTGATTGTGGATCTGAGTAAAATGAAATTCTCAACAACTTCAATCTTTTCTCTGTTTATCAGGACATTGGTTATGGGTCCAGTTTGAGGATTTTTGTTTTCTTTATGTTGAGATGCAATCCATACTGAAGACTGTAGTCTGATTTTCATCAGTAAGCACTTCAAGTTTTCTTTGCTTTCAGCAAGCAAGGTTGTGTCATCTGCATATTGCAGGTTCTTAATAAGTCTTCTTCCAGTCCTGATGCCACGTTCTCCTCCACATAGTCCAGCTTCCTGGATTATTTACTCAGCATGCAGATTGAATAATATTGTAAAATGATACAAACCCGACATACACTTTTTCTGATTTTAAACCATACAATATTCTCTTGTTCTGTTCAAACCACTGCCTCTTGGTGTATATACAGGTTTCTCATGAGCACATTTAAGTATTCTGGAATTCTCATTCTTCTCAATGTTATCCATAATTTGTTATGATCCCACACAGTCAATTGCCTTTGTGTAGTCAATACGACTCAAGTAAACATCTTTCTGGTATTCTCTGCTTTCACCCAAAATCCATTTGATATCAATAATGATATCCCTTGTTCCACATCCTTTTCTGAATCTGGCTTGAATTTCTGACAGTTTCCTGTCTATGTACTGTTGCAACCCTTTTTGAATTACTTTCAGCAAAATTTTACTTGTATGTGATATTAATGATATTATTCAATAATTTACACATTCTGTTGGATCACCTTTCTTTGGAATGGGCAAAAATGGTGCTTAGCAAATCATTACTACATTGTATTCCCACTCAAAAGGAAAACCAAGAAGTCTTACACCATAAAGCTTTATTATTATTATTATTATTGAGACCACCACGTAAGCTTGGGCAGGTGGGTTTTGATGGCAGGGCAGTATCTGAGGTGAAGCCAGTTGGTCCAGAGACTGAGCTTAAAGCCAAGCTTCCAGTTCTTAATACTGAGACAGGAGGAGGGCTGGGTATGCTCAGCAATTCTCTCTAGACGAGGCTCTGCTGCTCTGCACAGAGGGACAGCAGCTCAAGGGAAACTATATTCTTAGGGGAGAAACCCAAATCTCACCCTTATTGCTATTTTCCATTTTTTTCACTGATGTTTGAATGACTTTACCAAGCTTACTGTTCTTTAGCCCTCACTGCCTTTGCCCTGTAAGCCTTGTCTCTAAACATTAGAAGGAGTGTGTTTGTGATAATATGAAAGCTATCATCCCTGTTTCTCCTGGAGAAGCAAGGTCTTCTGGAGGTGAGAGGTCCAGTTCTACAAATTCTGGACTGTGATTGGTGTAGGGAATGGGAAAAAGGCATGGTATCTTGCGCCACAGAGAAGGTGTTGGGTTGCTGATCCATAGGTGATCTGAACTGGCATGGGTGCTTGTCTACTGGAATGATTTCCAGGGCAATTTAGAGGCAACTGACCTGGATGAATCTGAGAAACGTCTTTCTTCCCTCAGCCGGAGAGTCAGGAGAGCCAGTTTTATGGAGCACAAAGGCAGGACAGGGGAGGATTTTTGTGTTGAAAGAACATTGCACATAATGCATGACAATCATATCTAAGTCAACCTGTGTTAGAGTCAGTGTTTTAGGCTTATATGATATTGGGTACCACCCTATATGTTGACAGGAAAAGATGGTCTTTAGGAGAGATAGGAGTCATTTCAACCTTAAAAGGTTGTCTACTGGATTAAAATTTTCTTGAAGAAAATATCTATAGCTTTTACATATTTTTTGTTAATAGTTTTATTATACCTAACATTTGCATTTTACTTTATAATTTAAAAGTCTTTTCAATTACATTATCTTGTTTAGCCCTCATTTCATTCATTTGATTTATTCATCTATTCAATGTACATTAATTAAGTTCTCATTTTTTGCCAACCTGTGGGCTAGTCCTTGGCCTGCATAGGTAAGTTAGATATGGACCTGCTCCTTAGGGTTGATAGACCAGCAATGGGGGACAGAAAATTGAAGGATTATAGTATAGGATCTCAAGGAACTCTGGTGACATAGTGGGTAAGACATTTGGCTGTTAACCAGAAGGTTGGTGGTTCAAACCTACTAGCTGCTCCATGGGATGAAGAGGAGGCAATTTATTTCTGTATAGATTTACAGCCTTAGAAATCCAATGGGTGACACTATGAGTTGTAATCGATGGCAGTGAGTTTGGTTTTTGAGGTTTTAATATAGCGTCGCAGCAGGTGCCATATGAGTCAGAGAAATCTTCCTGGAGAAATGATATCTAAGTTGAGTCAAAGGGTCAGAAGTTGTTAGTCAAGCAAGGAAAAGGCCAGCAGGTGCAATGTTTCTGTAGTATGAGAATGAGTAAAGGTGTTGAGAAATGCCACCTTCTCTCATACTGCCATTAAAGCCACTTTCCTCCTGTTTCTATTTCCCTGAGTTCTGCTGAGGAGGGAGATAGTGCTAGTAGGTGAAGCTGGAGGTGGGAGGGCAAGATCATGGAGGACCTTGTGGGCCATGTCATGGAGCTTTGAATTTAACCTGAAGGCTATAAAAGTTCATTGGACACTTTTAAGATACGGTTCATATGCTTAGATTTTCATTTTAGAAAGATTATACTGTCTCCATAACTTGGAGAATTAATGGAGGGGAACAGACACTACAGGAGGGAGACTACTCATTGGCAAGTAGGAGTTATCACTCTTATTTTTGAATGATAACTCTAATGTTAGAAGAGATGGCCTGAGTTGTCCAAGTTCACATAATAGTAAGCCTTGAACTGCTGGTCCAGTGGTTTTTCCAAGAACTTATTTTTCATCACTCTTCCTTATGGCTCATGGACTTCAGACAAATGGATGACTTATTTCTCTCTATGCTTTCTTACTCCGTTGCCTTTGTGTATTCTATACTCTTTGCCTGAAATACCCAATGCTGATATATGTCATCCCAACATTATTCTATCATGAGAGCCTGTTTCAAAAGCTGCCTCTTCCTGGAAGCCTTTCTTGGTCTCCCCAGTGAGATGGAAGCTCTCCTTCTTTTGAGTATCATTGGTAGTTTAACTGAATTTTTCTTCTGGCATTTAACACATTTGTTTTGTTTATATGATTTATGCTTAGGACTAGACTGTAAATTCTTTGAAACTGGGGTCCAAGTTGATTTATCTTGAACTTCCTCTACCATAGTAGCTTGTACACTTGGGCCAAATAATATTTACTGAATGAATGAATGAGTGGGTGCATGCTCAGGAGAGGGCCATTTCTTCCTTTGAGATAAGAGGGATTGAAGAAGGGTGGGATCTGGAGGCTTAAACAGGGACATTGAAGGACCTAAGCAGATGCCATCAATACTCACAGGAGGGAGGATTAGTATGGATTTTGGAGTTAGCCAATCTGGATGCCAGTCCTTGCTCTGACACCAGCTGAGTTGGGTTAGGGTTTCCCAACCCTAGAGAGCAGAGAGGCCCTGAAGAAGCATTTATGGGATCACACAGGGAGCCTCCAAGATGAAAAAAGCCTTGTAAGTAGCAGTGAAGGCATGGCCAGGATTAGAGAGTGGAAACTTCAACAGGGCTGAGACACAGTTTTATGCCTTCTCTTAGCAGTCCTTGATATGGCGATGTCAGGGATCCTGATGTCTGACAACTATTTTCCCAGAGTCTGATGCTGGATGACCAAACCCCTGTGGAGGCCCAGTATGCAGAGGAGGGCCCAGGACCTGAGATCATCAGAGCAGAGCCAGGAGACCAGCTATGGAGGCCTGAGACCCAGCAGCAACCCAGTAGGCTAGACCGGGCCCTAGGGGAATGACTGGGGTAGAGGAGTGAAAGTAGAAGCTTCCTACATTTGCAGATGCTCTTCTCCCCAGTATCCTTGGGTGACGTCCAAATGATTGAAATTGGGAGGCCATCTCACTAGATATTTATTCCAAGACCTGCCTTCACTCCCTGTTTCCCATTTTGGGGCTTTGGTGGGACCCAAGTTTCCAGGAGGGCTTTGGGCTCTGTGGGTTTAGTGATGATGGGGCAGGGGAAGTGGGCAGGGTGCAGGAGGGGCAGCATCCTGCTGTAGTGCAGTGGGTGCTGAGCCCCATGGTGGTGCCTCAGTGTGGAGTCAAGCTGGTGGGCAAGAGCAGGAACCCAGACACTGCTCTGCTCTCCTGCAGTCTCTCCGGTGGGGCGCTGGTGCTCTGTGCGACACAGCTGTGCACTGCTGGGATGCTTGGGGCTGCTGGCTGGTGTGGGCGTTGGCTCATGGCTTCTAGGTCAGTGCTGGGGATCCTTCGATGGTCTGGGGATGGATGAAAAACAGGATGTGGGGGAGATTGAAAGAGAGAAGCAGGTGTTGGGTGTGTTAAAGGTAGACAATGGAGTGAGCATCTTCCTCATCTACCCTGAGTAGACAATAAGGGAGGAGGATTGAAATTGTAGCAGGAGAGATGTAGGCTCTTCATCAAGAAGAACTTTTAGTTCTGCAGTGAGAAGTGTTAAGTTACCTGAACAAATGGCCCAGAAAGGCTTTAGCCATACTTTTTTCTAGAAATATGTACCAATGAAAGAGAACTGTGGTTTTCCTCAGCAGGTTAGTGGAGGATCTGCCTAAAGGTGGCTGCTTTTGCTTCTACCTGAGAGTGTCTTAATTTTGCACCTTGTCTCCCTGAACCCTGTGCCCCCCCCCCTTGGGAGTCTTCCTCCAGTCTTTTCTCTGTGACCTGCTCTTTGTCCTTCTCCTCTCAAGTGTTATATCTGTGGCCAGCTGCCTCTCAGCCAGCTTCTGGGACTTTGCAGGATGAGGAGATAGTGTTGAACTGCTTGGGGGACAGCAGTGAGGAAGTCCTTCTCCCCTCACCTTCCAAATCAGGTGGGTCACACTCCTAAGGATTTCAGCTTCCTTCCCCAGCCCAGGGCCCCTTCACAGCTCTGGGACCCTCCTCATTCTGGCAGAGGGCAAGAGGACCAAAAAGAAGGGCCGTCAATCTGCTGCTCCCCATCTGTCTTTCCCTCCTCTGGTGTGAAGGTAGTGACAAGGTCCAGTCTCAGATCTGACATTGATTTGGGGCTTTAGTACTCCCTGGGCACTTTCATGACCTCTAGCTGGGGCTGGACCAGGAACCCAAGCTGGCAGAAGGGGTGGAGTTTTGCCACTTGGGACAGGGTGAGCCAGTAGCTATAGGGGAGGAGGAGCCAGGTACAAGTGTGGAGAGCTACAGTGTGACCAGCAGGGATCTTTGTCTTATGGCCACACAGAGGGCTGGGAACACTTTCCACACACTCCCATTGCCCCTTCCTTCGGGCTTTGAGGTGGGGGACCAGGGTATTATGCTGTGCCGAGGCTGGGGGTGAATATGTCCTATATTCTAGTAGTTAGGAGCACAAGTTTGGAATCTGCTTTTTCTAGCTGTGTGGCCTTCGGTACACTATTTCTTTGAGCTTCCTATATTTCCTTCTCTGTAACATGGAAATACAAATATTTACAGCATAAAGTTGTTAAAAGGATAAAATTAATTAATATATGACCAAAGCTTAGTGCAGAGCCTGGAAAAAGCAGACAGTGTCTATCAATTACTATGTGTCTAATCAATTACTATGATTGGGACAAGATTTGAAATCAGAAGACCTGGACTTATGTCCTGAATCCATCACTTTCTGATTTCTTTGATCTTGGGCAAGTTGCTTAACATCTGTGCCTTAGTTTTCCCTCTGCATAATGAGGAAGATGGTGATACTGCTGTGAAGACCAGTGACAGAGCACACTTAAAAACACTTGGTTGGACAAGAAAACCAAGATGCTCCACAAATAGGAATTATTTTGTTCTCAGGTGGCCTGAAAACCTGGGGGACAGGGCACCTGACATTGGTGACCCAGATACTTTCTCCTCAGATCCCCCCAGTGCCCTGGACCCAGCTCCCCCTGCCTCTGCACTCCCCACCTTCCCTACCTATAGCAGGTGGGATGGAGTTTTCATGCTGTGGTTTCAGTATCTTTCAGAATAAACACCGACGACTTCTTGTTGGAAGTGCAGGTGAGGGCCCGGCCAGACTGGCTCCTAGTGTGCCATGAGGGCTGGAGCTCAGCCCTGGGGAGGCTGGTCTGCCAGAGCCTTGGGCATCTCAGGTAACTGGAGCCAGACCTGGGCACTAAGGAGGGAGAAGGGCTGGTGGGCAAGGAAGAGGGTACTGGAGACCTTTATTGTCTGACTCCATCAGAATGCTTGGGGAATGGCAAGTGGTCATTTTGGCCATTGCCTGGCCTTTGGGCAAGATGGTGCCCCAACCTATTTCTTTCCTTTGAGCAACCTTGCTCTTTAACAAAGATAAAACACCAAAGAAGCCATTTTCACAGTCTTGCTCAGTCACTCCATGGGTGTGGTATCTCATGCACATTCCAGGTATGATTTACCACCATCCCTCATACCGCCATTAAAGCCACTTTCCTCCTGTTGCTATTTCCCTTCTTCTGGCCAGACTCACTCACCACAAGGGTGTGAACCTGTCTGACATCAAGTTCAACAGCTCTCAGGAGTTCGCTCAGCTCTCTCCTAGACTGGGAGGAGGCCTTCTGGAGGAGGCATGGCAACCTAGGTAGGGCTTCTGAGGTTAGGTGTGTGGGGTTCCTTACTTCCTCCATGGGATAGTGGTGAGAATATTGGCAATGCAAGGAGGGAAAAGAAGAATGTTTCCCAATCAGGAGTTAGAAACTCAGTTCACAAGAGCCCAGTCCATCACCACTTGAAATATATTATCTTATTTGCCCCTCACAAGGAATGCAGGGGTTGTTATCAGATTTGAAATAGCATCATTCATCCCACTTTATAGGTGGGGAAACTGAAGCTTAATGAGGTAAAGGCCTTATCCAAGACCCCAATTATCCACATAATTAGCTATCAGTCACACCAAGTCTTGAAACCAGGCTTCTATCTCCAAACTAAGTGCTCTTTCAACCCTATCACTTTATGGGGATAATTCTGGTATCTCAGGAGTTGGTTCGTTCAACTTTGAGCCTCCCATAGATGATGGCTTTGAGGTGGGTAGGCCCTTTCCCAAGTCCTGGCAGTGGGAATGGAGTGACTCAGCCCATTGCTAAGAAGGTCTTTGCCCTCTGTCTGGGCTTCCTCAAGTTGCCAGCACCCTCCTGGGCTGGGTGAGGGTGAGAATTTCCTATCACCTTGCTGAAGACTTCTCATCTTTGCATGACTTCTTGATCTGAACTGTTCCCTCAATGGCCTCTTGCCAGGCCCCGTCCTCTGAGGGCTGTCTGTGGGTTTGGGAAACTAGAAGAAAGTGGGAGGACCCAGGCATTGGGCTGCTGGGATTGGGAGTAGAATCAAGAGATGAGTAAGGAAAGGGAAGTGGGTTTTGGTCAGGGATGAACTGAGGCTGCTGGGAGAGGGGAAGGGAAAGAGGAGAGCAAGAATATGAATAGGAGGGCCCATGCAAGGAGCTTGGGACAGTGAATAGAGAACACATAGAGAGAAGCCTGGGGTGAAGAGCCTTGTTCATTCATTCACTCACTTGGAGGTGAGACACCCCAGAGAGGGCTTTTGAGGAGGCAGGTGATTGGAGTTTCTTCCTTTCTTCCTTCATCCTCTGAATACATATTTATTCAAGAGTCGTTAGTGGGAACAGCTGGGCTTTCTCATCTACAAATGCTCTATTTGTAAATTTGGGTCCTGTACAAATTGCCCCTCAAGGACCATAAAGTCCTGCTGTTACCCTCCTGGAGTATGCCTTGCCATCTTGTAGACCTGTTATGAGGAGGTGACTAGGGGCTTTGGGCAGGGGTGGAGATAGGGGTGTGGGGGTAGAGTGGAGAGGAGGGTAGAAAACGGTGATATTCTTCAGGCCGTGACTAAATGAGCATGGCTCACTCCACTCCCACAAACTATGCCCATTCTCCACGCCTTGGGTGGGTGGGTGTGGCCTCGGGTGGGTCCTGCCCAGCTTCTTATTGCCCCCTCTGTTTTGCAGGAACAATTGCATTTCTGGCCGAGTTGTTTCCCTCAAATGCTCTGGTGAGTCGTGTCTTGAGCCCAGGAAGGTGTTGGTGAGAATAAGGATCTCTCCAACCCTGCCCTGGGATGTGTGCAAGAACCCCATGTTAAGGCTTGACTGTGCCTGGGGTGGGAGCTCTGGTAGCACAGTGCCTAAGGCACTTGACTGCTAACCAGAAGGCTGGGGGTTCAAACCCACCAGCCACTCCTCAGAAGGAAGGTTGGGCAATCTACTTCCGTAATGATACTGCCTCGGCAACCCAAGGAGGGGTCGCTATGAGTCGGGACCGATTCGATGGCACATAACAATTAACAACAACATGCTTGGGGTGGGGTTTTCTGCTCGCTCCTCCATCTGCCTGCCCTGTCCCATCAGTTCTGACTGTCAGGCAGACAGTTCTGACAAAACAAAGTCCTGATTAAGTCATGTCCCCATCCAGCCACTGGTCTGGGCTGAAGATCTTCCTTCACTATCTGCCACTCTCTTCTTTGGCCTCTGACACTCACTTCCTCTTTCTTCTGGAAAGGCCCGGTCAAAGGTGAAATTGTTGTTTATTGAGTGACCTATTAGCAGCTTCACAAGACTTTTGTAGTTAGATGCTGTCTAGTCGATTTCAACTCATAGTGACCCCATGTGACAGAGTAGAACTACCTTATAGGATTTTCTAGGCTGTAGTCTTTACAGACAAACTCTGGTGATGCAGTGGTCAAAGCATTTGGCTGCTAACCAAAATGTCAGTGGTTTAAATCTACTAGCAGCTTCATGGAAGAAAGATGAGCCAGTCTGCTTCCATAAAGATCTACAGCCTTGGTGTATGGAAAGTGAATTTGCTCTGTAAACTTTCACCCAAATTACAACAACAACAACAAAAGATTTACAGTCTTGGAAACCGTATGGAGGCAGTTCAACCCTGCCCTATAGGGTTGCTATGAGATAGAATTGACTCAATGGAGGAGGGTTTTAATCTTTATGGAAGCAAATCACCAGGTCTTTCTCCTGTGGAGCCAGTGGGTGGGTTCTAACCACCAACCTTTCAGTTAGCAGTTGAGTGCTTAACTGATTGAGCTACCAGAGCTCCTTATGGAGGGTAAATTAGGCGTCAAATGGGAGATAGTTTGTGGAGGTCTTTTCATCTGTCTTCCCATTCATCCATTCACCTATTCATCTATCCATCCACACATCCATTCACACAACCAACAGTTTTGACCTCTACTGCTGGACAGGCATTATGTTAGACATGGGAGCTCTGTAGATAATTCAGACATAATCCCTATTCTAGGGAGCTCACAGCCTGATGGGGCAAATACATGTCTGTGCAATTAACATTTCTACCTTTCCATCCCCCATACCTAGGACCCCAAATAATAAACGAAAGCTTCCACACTTCCTGAGAGTTAGGACCATGTGATACCCACCTCCCTGTCTCTCTCTGTTTTGTTCTCACCCTTCTCTGTTGGCAGAGTGTGGGGCAAGACCCCTGGCTTCCAGGATAGTCGGTGGGCAGGCTGTGGCTTCTGGGCGCTGGCCATGGCAGGCCAGTGTGGCCCTAGGCTCCCGACACACATGTGGGGGATCTGTGCTGGCGCCACAATGGGTAGTGACTGCTGCACATTGCATACACAGGCAAGTCATTGGGGTGGGGAGGAGGCCTAACCACCTTTCCTATATGGCTGCATCCAAGTGTCTGCTTCCAGATGTCTGCTCTAAGTGGGCATGTGTGGCATTTATGCAGTTCTCCCTGTTCAGTGCATGAATAGTAATAATGATACAAAGATTGGTTCTTTGTGTTTGTTCCGTTTTTAATTTTTTAGGATGTTTTCACATTCATAGCACTCTACTTCTTAACATGTGTCACCACTGTAATTAAATGCATTTCTATGTAATTATTTGTTTAACATCTTTCTTACCCTTTAGACTGGAAGCACCATTGGAGCAGCGACTCTCAGTCTTGTGTACCATTGATTCCTTTGTCAATTTTCCCTAGAAAGTTCCCTAGAACTGACCTGGAATATAGTAGGTGCTTAAAATGGCTTGTTGGGTTAATGAATGAATGAACGATTAAGCTCTTTGATCCTCTTCTGTTGGTGGCAGGCAGGGCAGATGGTGTAATCTCCATTTTACAATGAGGAAACTGAGGCTGAGTGAGGTGAAATGATTCCCCATAGTATGTGGAAAGACAGGCTCACTGATATTTTTATGATGTGGCTTAGAGTTAGCTTATTGCACAATGACCTCTATTGATGTTTGTTGTAAAACTTGGAGGGGGTTATGAAGGAGAGAGGGAGTGAGGGTTGCAGATGACTCATAGTGTCTTGTTTCTCTATCTGTCAAACCTTGAGCATTTATTGAGCACTTACTGCATGTTCAGTCTCTTGCCAGCTGCTGAGGTGGATACTAAAGATAGTCCTTCTAGTCTGGGCACTCACAACTGGATTATGGAAGCCCCCACTAATGGCCTCTCTAGCCAGCTTTCTCCACCTGCTGCCTCCCTTACATCAACCTTTTCTTCCTCATCCTTCTCTGGTCTCAGTGTGGCCCCTGTGTGCAGTTTCAGGTTATCTCGCCTGTCCAGCTGGCGGGTTCATGCTGGGCTGGTCAGCCACAGTGCTACCAGGCCACACCAGGGCGCTGTCGTGGAGAGGATCATCCCCCACCCGCTCTACAGCACCCAGAACCATGACTATGACGTCGCCCTCCTGCGGCTCCGGACCCCACTCAACTTCTCTGGTGAGGCGCTGACTACAGGCAAGGGCAGGCTGGCTCTCTCTGGAGAGAGAGGAGCAGGGACTGGATGGGAAGAGAGGCCAGATGGTTTCTAAGATTTCCTTCTAGCTTTGTAAATATCAAAACATTCCATTGATTTTGGTGACTAATGAAGTTTGGCATAACGTGCTTCTGAACTTGCACCGCCTCTTGTATGGGCTCTTCTGGAGACAACGGTTCAAGCTCTTTTCACAGCTGGACTGCAGGTGGGATTTGTGCTCCCACACGGAGCTTCACAGCTGCTCCATCTGCAACAGGCTGCTTTCTGCTCTCTCCAGACTGGCCCCCGATTCTAACCATTTTTATAAAACAAGACAGTCAACAAACTTTCTTTTCTTTCTCCAAATATCCTTTCATTCAGTCTTTGTAACAACCTAACAGATGGAGAAAGCAAATACACACAGATAAAGACACTAAAGTTTAGGAAGGGAAGTGACTGTCTTCAGGGTCATGCAGCAAACTGTTCCTCAGCCTGTTGTCCTGACCTCAGGGCCAGTGTTCCTTCTGCCCTAGAGGGGCAAGCCCAGGAACAGGGTCCCCTCCTGCCCCCACACACATGTACGTGTACACTCACCAACAAATGCACTCAGAAACACATACACAACATGTACCCATGTACACATGTACTCACACAATCACATGCACTTGTGGGCTCACAGTACATTCACACATATGTACACACAGTAGCCACACAAACGCACACACTCTACCTACACCCCCACATGTATGCACATGTACACATGTGCACACACACTCATACACGCTCACATGCACACTCACCCCACATGCGCACACACATGTAGACACACTCATACACACTCCCATGCACACTCATAAACACACTTATGCGCACACATGCACACTCACTCATACACATGCTAACAGATACTCACACACATAAACATTCACACCATAAAGACTCATGTATACAATATGCACATTTGGTTTCATGCCCACACACTCTCACATGCACATGCAATTTCACACATGCATACATCCTCAACATTCCTCCCTCCCCACCTGTAGCCTTGGATTTTCCAAACATCAATCATTGTTACATGCTATTCACAGTTTTTCCTGTAAGTATACTCTCTGAACTATTGTTCAACAGCCAACATTTTTAAGTTGACTTAAATAAATATATTGAAAAAGCAAACTTTATGTTACTACTTAGCTGAAGAACCTACGTTATTTATAATAAATAGATAGTAACCGCACACATACACAGAGTGAAAACATGGCAGTGTTTAAGCTCTAGCCCCATGTGGCCTTCTGCAGAAGGAGCTGGGCTTGCTCTTGCCTTGTCAGATGGAGGCTGCCGGTGTTGGTGTTAGGGAGGTGCAGAGCAGCACCAAATGGAGTCTTTCTCCCTGATGCTGTTAGAGGGAGTAAAAGACAATCGAAAAGGAAATAATTTTCTTTCAAATGAATCAATGTTTGTTTCATGGCATGTCTATGTACTACCTAAAATTATGCTTGGGCTCCATAGGTAGGTCAAGTCACACACTGCCAAGATAAATTCAACACCCTGGGGAAAATCCCGAATGGGTCTTCATTAGAAGTTGGATACCTGTGCCCAGAAGGAATGCCATTCTTCCTCTCCCTCCCTTCAGGACCATGTTAGGCAGGTGGGGAGAGGGGAGGCACAGGTGCACTGTCCACCTTTAGGGGGCGCTATGCACGCTGTGGTTTACACACTGACCTCTAGGTGGTACAGTGCATGACTCGCACAGTGGTGTCAGGCCCCTGGCTTGTGATGGCAGGAAGGCAGGACTGTTTGAGAAGGTGGGGAGGATCCACCAGCCCTGTGTCCTCCTGCTCAGGCTTTGGGGGAGGGAAGCCAAGCCTGAGTGGGAGGAGGACTTTGTGTCTCTCCACAGACACTGTGGGTGCTGTGTGCCTACCAGCCAAGGAGCAGCGTTTCCCCAGGGGCTCACACTGCTGGGTGTCTGGCTGGGGCCACACTGACCCCAGCCATAGTGAGTGAGCTCCCAGGGCCCTTGGTGTGAAGGGGGTGTGGGGGGAGTGACATCCTTCCCCAGGGTGAAGCACCTCTACCTCCACCTCCCCTGGCCACATAGCAATGCCAGCCCCCTTTCCCTGCCATCACCGTTGGCCAGGCACAGTGCCTGGGTCTTTCTGAGAATAACAACCCCTACTTCCCCTACTTTCCCTTTGACTCTCCCTCTTGCCCTGCCCTCAGCATTTGGGGTACAAGTGAGTCTGACTCCCCTTCTTCCCACTCCTGGCCCACACATCTGACCAGAGCCCTGCTTCCTTGCCTAGGGTCCACAGCTTCTACTCTGGGCTCCCCTGTTTGAGTCTCTGTGTCTCTGGTACCTCTAACTACTTCCCCTCTTGCTGTTCTGCCTCCTTGGGTATTGCTCTCTGTATCCCTCTGGGTTGGTATCAACTGCAGCACACAGCTCTGACACCCTCCAGGATACAGTGGTGCCCCTGCTCAGCACCCAGCTCTGCAACAGCTCTTGTATGTACAGTGGGGCCCTCACACCCCGCATGTTGTGTGCCGGCTACCTGGATGGGAGGGCAGATGCGTGCCAGGTGAGGCTCCCCTGCCAGGTACCTTTTGGTGAAAGGAGGGTAAGAGGGCCTGCTCTGGCTGGGCACCCAGGTCTAAGCATGTCAGTGTGAGAAAGCCTCTCAAGGGGGAGGGTTTACATGGGGGTGAGACAAGTAGGTAGGTGGGCAGAAGGCAGGAAAGGCTCGGAAAGGAGAGTCCAGGGTCCTTCACATGGAGGCTTGATGCTGCAACACTAGGAAGGACTAACTGGCTGTTGCTCTCTGTCTGTGTACCTGGGTCCCTCAGGGGGATAGTGGAGGTCCCCTGGTGTGTCCAGATGGGGGCACATGGCGCCTGGTGGGGGTGGTCAGCTGGGGCCGAGGCTGTGCAGAGGCCAACCACCCAGGAGTCTACGCCAATGTAGCTGCCTTCCTGGACTGGATCCACGACACTGCACAGGTGAGTTTAGGGGCAGTGCTGGTGTGTGGGTTTCAGAAAGACCTGCTCCTTGAAAACTGTGAACACCCATAGCCTGGGATCTGTTGGAGGCTGGGGAGGGGACAACAGAATACTCTTCAGAGTGGGTAGAGGAGCTCCTCACATTGATCATTGGATTTCTATCAATCTGAGCATTAACTGGGAAAAGGTAGACCTGAGTTTGTAGCCCAGATCCACCACTTATTGTGTGAGTTTTGGCAAGTTCCTAAGCTTGTTGAACCTCAGTTTCTCGAGAATGATGATGTGGCTACTACCTTACTATGCTGCTGTGATGGTTAAATGAGTTGATATCTGTAAAATGCTTAGTATAGTATGAGGCTTATAGTGAGTGATCAATTCGTGTTGTTTATATATTTATTTATTGCCAGCATTCATTCCCTGGGTGCTAAGGTAGTTAGTTACCTGTGACCACGTGCCTTACACAATGCAAAGAGCTCAGCTTTTAGCAGTTTGGGTTCTGCAATGAATTAATTCTAGGGTGATATTGGGCAAGCCATTCAACGTCATCTGTTCAGTGGGAGGCCGAATGAGATAATGTGTATCCACACACTTTACTGGTATTTGTTGTTTGTTGTTATGTGCTGTTGAGTTGGACTCGACTCACAGCGACCCCTCCTTGGGTTTCCAAGGCAGTATCTACTTCCGTAGTGATATTGCCTCGGAAACTCAAGGAGGGGTCGCTATGAGTCGGGTCTGACTTGACAGCACATAACAACAAAAACAACATCACTGCGGAAGTAGATTGCCCCATCTTCCCTCCGAGGAGTGGCTGGTGGGTTTGAACCGCCAGCCTTCTGGTTAGCAGTCAAGTGCTTTAGGCACTATGTTACCATTAGTACGTTGTAACTGCAGGGCCTGAGAATGAAAAGAATCTTTCTCCAAGGCTGGACTCGGGGAAACAAGGTGGTACTAGATAATAAACCTTAGCATTTATAGAGGACACATGCATCCATCTTCTCAATCAAACCTAACGGAAAACCTAGAGAAGTAGGTATTTTAGTGCCATTAGATAGATGTGGAAATCAAGGTTCTGAATAGAGAAGTGATTTACTTAAAGTAAAACTTGCTCAGCCATTATGCAGTAGAAACAGATTATAAATCCAGTTCCTTTATATATACATCCTCTTGTTTCCTCCAAAGGAGTTCTGGTGGTTCAGTGATTAAGGCACTTAGCTGCTTAGCAAAAGGTTGGCTGTTCAAACCCACCAACTGCTCCTCAGCAGCCTGCTTCTGTAAAGATTTACAGCCTCGGAAACCCTTGGGGCAGTTCTAACCCGTGCTATAGGTCACCATGAGTTGGAATGGACTTTATGGTGGTGCGATTGGTTTGGTTGGTTTCCTGCACTCTCACTGCATACCAACCTCATGTTTCCTGGGGTTTCCTGCAGGTCCACTAAGTGGAAGAGGCAGCAGTACTCAGATGCACAAAGTATGGATTGCTACCACTCCACAAGAGAGACCGTTACCACCCACAGGCTGGACACTGGGCCACAGGACCTCTTCCCTCAGGCCCTGACTTCAGTCTCTCTTTCTCACCTGAGAGGCTCTCTAACAGAAGAGATATTGGGGCTGGGTTGGGAGGGTGGGGGTACTGAGGGATGTGGGGAGAAGGAAAGAGGCAGGAGCTGCTGAGAAACATGTGGCAGGAAGCCTCTGGAGGCTGGTCTCCTGACCTCATTCTCCCAAGCCCCTGTGTACATCTTTTGGGAGAATACTCAGGTATGCTCCCAAGTCCTGCCTTTCCCCTATGTCCTCAGGAGGGGTAAGTGCCTCCCTAGAGGACTGCTGGCTGAGAGGCTCCTGGGCTGATGGGGTCAAGGCTGGGCCAGTCCGCACCAACCTTATGTGAGTCAGGATGTTCCCTGCTCTCCCGTTGGTCTCGGCCACTTCCTGTTGTTGTTATGTGCGTCAGCCACTTCCTGTACTCACCTGAAAACCCGCTTTCTGTTCTTACTTCACGACTCATTTCCTGTTTCCACTTCAGCTCTAGCTGGCCTTGCCGGGTGGGGGCATTTTAAAAAAGGAGATTGGAATAGGAATAGGGTGTTTGTTTTAAAATTACAGTTCTGTGAACTGGTCCAAAGAATTCTGTTATTAAAAGTGAAACAATGTATATATGTATATATATGTTCTCACATACAAATCAAGGGACAAAATTACAATTTTCCTCCTATACATATTTCTTAATGATTTGGTGCCTAAAACCTTTTGAGCTTTAGAATTTTGGCATGCGTTTGTTTATTCGTTTAAATTGTCTAAATTTCTTAAATCTACATGCCATGTTATGCAACAAAATACCTCAGCCATCCGTGTGCTTGGATGCTGCAAGTTTGAGAACCACTGAGGTCAATGATCTCTTAAGAAAGTTCTGACTTCTTAGCTCTTGTTTCAGAACTGAGCCTTTTGGCTTAGGGAGAGTTCTTTTTTGTTTATGCCCAGTAAGCATTTTCCTGGTTAAGCTGCTCCATCACTTTCTCCTCTCTAGCAGCTAAAACGCAATCGACATCTTGTTTCTAAAAACTGCAATGAATTTTTTATGGCGCTTACCCAAGGAAATGCAATTAGCGTTTAGCAATAACACAGTTTTGTGAATTTACCAGCATATTGGTTTTTGAGGAGTGGTACAATGGGATGTTCATTCATTCCTGAAGCATCTTCTCCCTTTGCATGAAGCACTAAAAATGGAATGCCCCAATTTACTGTCAGTTTTTTACCTGGGAAGAGGTTGTTGGGAAGGTGCAGTCAAATTGCAGAAGCAAGGTGGTAGAGGCCCTGAAGGTGGCAAATAACCTCTTCCTGTGTCCCTAGAGCTCAGACCCCCTGCCTTGACCCTGAAGTCAGCACCTATGTCAGGAGGCAGTGATGGAGCAGCTGGTCCCTCTGGGGACGGAAGAGTTAACAGCAAACCCATCAACTACAATCATTTTTGTGTTGCTGATGTCAACTATATGCATTTATTGAAAAGGAGGTTTTAATTTATTACAGTCCTGTGACTTGTTAGCTCTGATGGTGTAGTGGTTAGGGCATTTGACTGCTAACCAAAAGGTTGGTGGTTTGAACACACCAGCTACTCTGTGAAAGAAAGATGAGGCAATCTGCTTCCATAAAGATGAACAGCCTTGGGAACCCAATGGAGGTCATTATGAGTTGGAATCAACTCGATGGCAGTGGGTTTGGTTTTTAGTATGATTGTTGATAATAATTGGTTAACATTTGAGTAACACTCTAGAGTTTAGAAAACTTGCTCATGTGCAGTATCTCATAACATCGGTATGGTAAAGATATTGTTATTATCATCTCCACTTTAAAACCAGTTGCTGTTGAGTTGATTTCCACTCATGGAGACCCCATGCATGTCAGAGGACAACTGTTCTCCATAGTTTTCAATGGATGATTTTCAGATCACCAGGGCTTTCTGACAAGGCAGCTCTGGGTGGCCTCCAACCTCCATCCTTTTAGTTAGCAGCTGATTGTGTTTACCACTTGTACCACTTAGACCCCTCCTGTCCCTACTTTGCAGACATGAGAATTAGTTCACAGAGATAGTGATTTTCCCAAGACCAACCAGTTACTAAGTCCCAGCATCAGAGTGTAATTTCTGGGTCTTTTTGTTCCAAATCCATGTCACTGCCTTGTGCATGGATGAATATTCACAGAAGCATAGAATTGAAAGGTCATTTATAAGGTCATTTGATCTAGCTGCCTGTCTACAGTAACACATTGTCATCCCTTCTTTTTATAGGTGACATACCTGAAACCTGGGAGAGTTTCATGAGTTCTGCCTGAGGCTTTTCTCAGGCAATATTCTTACAGATTTCCAGTTTTCATTGAGATTCATGGTCTGACTTAAATGTTACAAATGAATATCATCCACGGGAGAACTATAAAGAGTATCCTAATTAGAGAACTTGCTAATAGCTAGTCCCTATTTACCTACAGAAACTCCCGGCACTTTTTGCCAGGCTAACAATCATATCTACACAATCCGGAGCTTGCTCCTGCCCTTTCTTTGTTAGCATCTGCCAGTCCAGCCCTTAGCAAAGTGAAAAGTGAGTTGTTTAGGTCAGCTCTGTTCCTTGGGCCAGCTGCTGGAGTGCAGGGGTGGAGGTAGGGGCAAGGAAAAGTGGGAAGACTCAGGTCCAGAAGGATTTTAATGAGGACCAGCTGGATGCGCAGCTGTGTTAAGCTCTGCAGGGAACTCAGAGGTAGAGAAACCAACTGTCTTCTTGGAGCGATGACACTTATTTGGAATAAATTATTAGTGGTCATCCAGGCACGAAGCTGAGTGTGAGGCAGTAATTACTATAGAAGCTCCAGGAGACTATTGTTGAATAAGCCAGGACACTCCATGTGCAGGAAACCTGTGCTCTGCCCCCGTAGGATTCAGCATCCCATTTGCCTGGGCAGAGCCATTGAGCCTTCTGTGGCTTCCCAAGAAGGGTGCTTCAGGCTGCCATGCCCAGGGGGATGCCTGCTCCTATCTGCTCCTTCTGTGAGCTTATGGGGCTCCAGGAGCCAGTAGAGGGAAGGCTTTTTCTCCTGTGGTACCGTGGGTGTTCTTGTCATTAGGTGCCTTCAAGTCAGCGCTGACTCACAGTGATCCTATGTACAACAGAACGAAACATTGCCCCATCCTGTCCAGCCTCCCAATACTTGCTATACCTGAGCCCATCGTTGCAGCCACTGTGTTAATCCACCTTGTTGAGGGCCTTCCCTTTTTTCATTGACCCTCCACTTTATCAAGCATGATATCCTTCTCCAAGGAATAGTTCCTTCTGACAACATGACCAAAGTAGGTGAGACAAAGTCTGGCCATTCTCACTTCCAAGGAGCATTCTGGCTGCACTTCTTCTAGGACAGGTTTGTTAGTTCTTTTGGCAGTCCACGGTACCTCCAGTATTCTTCACCAATACAACTCAAAAGCATCAACCCTTCTTCAGTCTTCCTTACTTGTTGTCCAGCTCTCACATGCATATGAGGCGATTGAAAACACCATGGCTTGGCTTAGGAAGAGTTGCTGGGAACAAGGAGGC